AGCTGCGTCATCGAGCTCTTCCGCTGGGCGATCTTCTCGGGGTTGGTGCGTGGCACGAAGCCCCGGCGGTGCACCACGCTCTCCCCGTCCAGCTGGGGGTAGGCGGTGCTGCCGGGGCGGCTGGGTGACGAGTAGGGCCAGCCGTTGGGCTGCGTCGGCCGCTCCACGCTGCTCGGCACCCGGGGCGCCTCGGGGTACGGGCTGCCAGGCTCCGAGGGCATCTCCTGCGCCGTGATGCCGTTGGCTTTGGCCAAGGGCTCCTTCTTGCTCTCCATCCTCTCCGGTTTCCTTTCAATCTTTTCCGAGCCACGGCCGTCGCCTTCCCCCCGGGTCTTGGCATCGGGGTCGGCTTTGGGGTGCTCCCGGTGAGTGGTGTTGCGGTGGTGCTGGTGGTGCTTGCTGGGAGGGATGTTTTCAGAGTCCGTCTTCTCATGTCTGGCAGGCACGAAGACATGAGAGGGCATTACCTCCCCTTTGCACCACCCTAGGGATGGCCAGGTAACATCTCACCTCTCCCTCCATCCTGGCGGGGTAATGCTCCCCCGGCTCCCACGCTCTCCAGGGGGACCCCACGCTCCCAAGGGGCTCCCCTGCCGCAATGCACGGCCCCTGCACCCAGGCAGCAGGAGACCAGGGCCGAGGGGTGCCCCTGCACCCCGTGCAACACTGCGGGGCGACAGCCTGCCCTGACCTCTGGGTCGGTGGGATCTGCACCCGGGCAGCCTCGCCCATGGCTTGGATCCAGGACTCCTGCTCCTCGATGTTCTCGGCGCTGAAGAAGTAGGTCCGGATGCCAGCGTGCTCAGCCTGGGAAGACAGGGACTGCTTGTTACGCGCCGGCACCTCCTCCGCCCAGCACACAGTCACCTGCAGGGAGGCAGAAAAGTGGGAGAGAGACAGACAGGCGAGTGAGAGCTCGGTTTCCAGCTGGCTGGGTCGGCTCGGGGTCTTCTGGAGCTGCAGGAGAAGCTGGGCCAGGTCCTTTCCTCCCCAAGCAGTCCTTGCTTTGCTGCATGTCCCCTCAGCAGCGCGGCGTGGGAGGAAGGCTTTGCAGCCTGAGCCCATTTCCCTTTCCTCAGCTAGCCCAGGGGTTAGCTGAGGACGCAGCTGGAGACTTGTGCTTATTATCTTTAAAGAGCAACTTGTCACCAGCAGAACTGGTTGCACCTCTAGCCTCACACCAGTGACAGGCGGTGGCCAAAAGGCACTGGAGCATTGCTTTAAACCAGCTTTTTGCAAGCTTTTGCAAGATGAGAAACACCTCTGGCATCTCCTGATGCACCTGCTCTTTCCAAAGCAGCCACGGATGGTTGCAGAAGAGCCAGGTCTCACTGCAGGGCCATCGGCTTCCCTTGGGTCCCATAGCCACCACCTCTGGGAGCCAGAGGCAGCCCTGCCTGCCCAGCACAACACGCAGGGGCACAGGCACCACATGCAATTGCTACCAGAGATGCTTGGGACCAGCTTTCCCCCGACTCTGCCAGAGCCCTGGTCTGGGGTCAGGGGCCAGCTCTGGGGGTGCATGGAGAGGGACAAGTGCCCCAGTGCAAAGGTGCAGGGTTAGTGGGGTTCCCTCGGGGTGCTCAGAGGCAGATGAAGGGTCCACAACTCCCTGGGAGAGCAGGAGCTCTGGCTGGAGCGTTATCATCCATGTAGGGTGAGGGGGAACGTGGCTTCTTGACCCAAATAACATTTGAGGGAGAAAGGTTCCCTTTTGGCCCATGATCTCGGTGCCCACTCTCCAACCCGTGCTATGGTGGCGGAAAAGCACAATGGGTTATTTGTGGTCCTTCTGAAGCTTCCACCTTCCCCCTCTTTGCAAAGGGATGGGATGCAGCAAGGAGGAAGGAAAAGGAAAAAGATTTTATTCCTGAAACGCTTTCAGGGTTTAATTTCTTTAAATCAAAAGAAAATCTAGGGTTCTGATTAAAACTCCCTGTGGGTTTCCACTTTCCCCTCCCCAGAGGGCTGGCAGCTGCTCCGGCAGCCCGGGCCCAGGGGCTCCCCTGCCCGGCTCCTTCGAACCCCGGGCCCTGCAACCTCCATGCAGCTCTGAACGCTCTGCAGTGAGAGCAAAGACCAAAGGGATTCGGTCCCCTTGATTAGTGACAGCGGGGTGCGCGAAGCATGCCGGGAAACCTGCGCGTCCCGCGCCCTTCTGCATGCACTCGGAAACGCGAGAACATACTACCTATCTGGTGGCTGGGTGCTGGTGTGGCAGACAGGCATGCAGAAGAGACCTCCTGTCCGAGGGGGATCCTCGCCCAGGCAGAAAGGAGGAAAGACAGACAACAGGTCAAACCACGTGGCAGGCCACCACGGGGAGACACGGTGGAGTGTGGCAGGACCTCGCTGGAGGCCGAGAGGCTCTGCCAGCCTCTCCTTGCTACCTCTCAACCCTTTCTCATGTTACTGTGAAACCCTGAAGATGGATCAGAATCAGGGAGCTGTCATGGTCTCTGTTTTGGGGCAATTTGGGTGCAGATGAAGCACCGTAGCTTTAGTCAAAGGATGGGGTGCACCGGAGGTGCCATCTCTCCTGCCATCCCCAGGAGGGGCCGTCTGCCCAGTCACGCCGTGCGGTGCCAGCGCCGGCACCACTTGTAGGATTTAAGTCTATTCTGGAAGAAAGAGGGACTCGGCTGGAGTTGAGGGATGGACAGAGCCTTTTCTGATGGCAGGTCTGAGATGATTTTCATTTCTGAGCAAAGCTATCCACCAAAGCCCTCACGTGCATGTGAAAACACCACAGCTCAGACACTTAATGGAACAAAGTCAGTTTGCAAAAATCAGCTTGACAAGGCTCTTTCCCACCAATATCACATCCCAAGAGAGAGACTTCAACACTTTTGGGTCACTTCTTTGCTACTGCCTGCATCTGCTACAGGCAAACAGACACCTCGCCCGGGATGATAGTCCTAGGTGCACAGTGTCAGCACGAGGACTCAGGAGAGCACATGTGCATCTCCTAGATGCTGCCAACCGCAGCTTAAATACAGGTTTAAAGTTGACAGGTCCAGGCACAGGAGTCAGGACTGCATGGGTGCGTACGCCCATGTACAGGATCAGGGGGTTGAGGCAGTATTACTATCTATTACTATTTATTTTGTTTGAGGGCACATGCACAAACATCTGTGAGTGCATGGAGAGGTGCGGGGCTGGGTTCGTGCAGCTCCTGCCGTGATCACGAGCAGGAAGATGCGCGCTCGGTTTTTGCATGAGCGTATACGAGTGCAAGGCACCCCGTGCAGGCAGGCACGTGCTACTGCCTACAGAGGTGAGACCGTGGACAGCGTGTGCAGTCATATCTGTAAAGGTGCATTGCGATGCCCCCGAGTGCCATGTGTGTGCCGGGGGAACCTCAGCGCTCCCACGGAGAGGGGCCGAGAGCATCTCTGGACGGGGGCAGACCAGGCCTGTTCCTGGGGGAGGGTGTCGGAGGGCCCCGCTGCACACAGCCTCCCTCTGCCTTTCACAGCTCTCTCCTGCACCCACAGCAGCGAAGGCCGACAAGCAGAAACCAAGTCCGTGCTAACCCACTGCAACTGCGTTTCCATTTCCTTTACACGCCAGTCAAAGCAAGCTTAAAAAAAAAGAAGTGGGGAGCTGGGCAGGCCCCTCTCTCACTTGGCCATGGGAGCACGGCCAAGGAGCGCGGTGCCAGCCCTCGGCGCTGGCAGGGAGCAGCGAGATGGGGAGGGAAGTGGGGCAGGGAGCGTGCTGCTGCTTCCCATGCCATCGTCCA